TGGTAAACTTCTACCAGACTACATGGCGCTACAACCCAGAAAACAACTATCTTTGGACTCTGCCATGAAAACCTCAAATCTTAGACAGTTAAATATCCTCAATAGACAGCTGGCTTTCATGCATCATTATGTATAATTAATACATATATTATTTAAACTTGAAAGTTCTAAATTAAATTGATGTGGAATTGTAAATAGAAGAGTGCAACTTATTTACAAATTGGAGTACAAGTACTTAGAATCAGAATTAAATAGGCCTACGAACATATCCAGTGTGAGCACTTTCTGGTAACCGGTAATACTATCACTTCTTCACTTGAGAAGGTGATGGAAAGACTCCCTGGGTTGCAAAGATTGACACAGCACTTTTGATCCCTTGATTGCACGGTAGTAGGTTCTGTGCTCTGCCCCATAGTGCTGACTGACTGTTACAGTCTTATAATGTGGTCTCTGATTTTAGCCAGTTATATCAGCACTTAGTGTATTAGGTTTCTCAAGTCATATTTTAGATTTAGTTAAAATTTTGTACCTTTTAAATTCAGTGTTCCTTTAATAAACCTTCTGCTGCAGTAACTTACTCTGTTGTGACTGCATAGCCATAATACTTCTTCTTCTATGGCTCTCCGGTCCGTATTCGGTCCTCTGTTAGGTCCGTCTGTCCGAGGCTTTGATTGAGGTTTCGAAACATCTTCCATAAAACTAACAAATCTCAAATCATTAATTGAGGGATGAACTGGCAGTTTGAATAGTGTGACTTAATCCCATGTTCTGGAGGAATGTATTTACATTATTAATTTCCATACGTGGAGCTGTTATCAAAGATCATCAAAAAATTCTGTGACATTCTTAGGGCACTATATATCCCTCTCTCTCTGCAAAATAAGCACAGTATTTTAACATTACAGTGTGATAAACTGTACCATCCTTTATGTATCGTCATGAGCTACGTGTTGGATCGTGATGTAATTTATTGTGTCTGAGGCATAACTAACTAACTAGATGGCTTAGGGAACCCAAAGGTTCATCACTGAACTAACCAGAGCCCCCATCTGGTCCCTGTCCTGGGCCGAAGCATAAAGTTTGATGGCGTAATTCACATGACCACAGTCCAGACATTTTAAGTTTGCTTTGGTGTCTCAGCTTCAAAATATAGAAAGGTTAAATTTCTCTTCACTATTGCCACATAGTTTATTAATGAGATGTCAAATAAAGAATGCTTAATATTAAATTCTATGTGGTTTTCTGTTCAGCATAAATTGCTATAAACCTCATTTATTCAGATATTTATTCTTGAAAATCCTAGTTTGTGGTTCTTTGGTCTCTGTCTTGTTACAACTCACACCACTGGCTGCTGTTTTGCAATTTCTAATATGTTCCCAAGCTTTTTCATCTTATCACCACTCTTGGTACGATCTGAAACACATACACGTCTTTACATTGGTTATCTGATAAATAAGAATTATCTACATAGAATACTGAGAGTAATACATTAGTAGAATTTTTTGTTTCAACATTAAATGATTGATGATAATGGTGAAATAGGTGGGATCACCTGAGGACAGTGGTAGTAAACTGTACTTTGTAACTCTTTTCTGTATTATTTGAATTTACTTTATTATAACACTATCATATGAGGCCACCTATGTGACCTTATACATTATGCTGTAGTCAGTTATGCATGACACAGGATTTAATATTACCAGTCTTCTGTGTTACATGTAGCACAAGGTAAAGTTACATTTTTCTTCTTAGGTGTTACAAGGAATAAACATTTTGTTAAACTTTTACGTATGCCATAGGGTATATATTTTGTGTTTCCTCATTCTATATTTTTATTATTAGTATCATTTTCAAATTATGTGAACAACACGTTTCTTTTGTCCTCGTTGAACACCAGAATTAATTTTATACATAACATAGTAGCCAAACATTATTTTCATAATTTTATAGCAATTTTAGTATAGTTTAAGCATTTGAATTTAAAAAGGTAGTAAAACTAGATATTATCAGAACTTTACATGTAATGAGACTCTTTGTGAAACAACCAGTAGAATGTTCCTACCTAATACCTGTTACTGTTCATCAGACAATATTGAATGAAAAGAAAACAGATTTACATGGAGTCATACATGATGCAGAGAGACAATTTAGGAGGTACATACAGGCTGATAGGAAGGTGAACATTTGTACACAAAGAAAGATGCATCTAAGCAGGTCCTGAGGAAGACACACACAACTGTAGATATAGATGAGAGAAAAGATTTATGAAATAGGTGTACGAAAGCAGTTTGTCGGATACAGTTGGATAAACAAAATGTGTGTATTGATGAACACAGAACAGAGAAGACGGCAAACACAAATAATCAAGATTTTCAGTTCATGATAGGATTTTATCTTATTTTTAATCACATTTTCACCAGAGTTGGTATCCTGTTTATCATTATATTTATGTTTGAATTAAAGACAACAAAAAACTGGACATCGGTTTTCCTTTTGAACCGTTAACACAGTGGGCAATAAAAGTGTCCAAATTACCTGTGAAACCACTGTACAGAAATGCTTATCACACAGAACTGACAATTATTTTGACTTTTCTTTGTAGTCATTCAGGTGCTTGAGGAGGTAATTTTAACTACGTACATTTGTATATAAACGTGTTTTTTCTACATTCTGTAAAACTGTTTATAAATTGTAAATATTTTAGTCCAGCACATAGTTATAGTAACTGTAATACCTCTAAAGTTCATAATAAGGATTAAATACAGTAACACAGTAGAAGCTTTAATGTATTTATACCCTCATTCTTATTATGTAC